GCATTAACGTGTTTAATGCGATTTGAATGGGCGTGCTTTGGGTGAGCACGACTGGTGCCCTCCGCACGGGGAGAGAACGAGTCAGTTTTAATGGGTGAAAGGCGGGCACTGAGCTGACGGTCCAATGGATCGAGAGACGACCACGGTGTACGCCTCTGTGGGTGCGATTACCTATACATTTGTGTGCGTGTCTTAGCCCAAGTACGTTTGTGAATGTACTCATGCGTGTGCTTGATGCGGTTTCACGTCGTTTTTCTTGCAGAACTCTACTGCAGAATCGTGTAAGACTGGCGAAAATATTCATTGCCATCGTTTCTATATCAAATACTTTATCGCTGAAACTATCATTCTGCAACTTGGAAAAAAAAATAGAGCAAATTTTATATATTTATATATCTTTTGTATTTCTAATTTAGAATGATTTGATTGAATATTACTATAATTTCGGAAACTGTTTTATTTAAATTAGTAAAATAGAAATTAAATTTTGCCCAAATTACTTCGTTTATATAATTATTTAGATGTAAGATAAATTCTTTTACCAGATAAATAAGGATACAAATTTTAAACGATATTTTTCCATTTTCGTTTCGTTTTATGCATATTATTTTATATATAATTTCTTCCATCTTAGTTTAAAAAATCGTAACTACTGGAAAGTAGTTGGTAGCAAAACTTGTATATGAATTACCAGTTAAATAATAAGAGCCATTGTCGGCAAATAACGCGCACTTCATGCGTGACGCGAGACGGTGGACAAAAACAATAGTGGCGAACATGAAATTCGGTACGGCAGTTGATGGAAGCCCACCTCCGTTTCGTCCGCAGGGTGTATCGTCGCGTTTTGATGCGTACGCGCGCGTCCTATTTTCTTTCTTTTCCCCTTTTTTTTTTTTTGCCTCAATTTCCGATTACCGCGCTCTGTCCTCACCACATGTCGTTTACGTCGAATTACCGAAAATTGCGGGTTAGTCCCTAATGTGAGAATTAAAGTGCACGTCGGTTACTCTCGCTTTCAGATCTGACGGAATGCCGCAAAAGAAGGAGAGGTCTCAAGCTGGCGACGGGCAAAGAACGGGATTGTTGAAGAAGGTCAGAATGCTCAACACCTCCGAATACGATAGCGGCCTCGAACCCCTAAAGAAGCCAAAGAAGTATTCGATTATACACCTTGTAAACAGAAACATTACGTATTCACAAGGAGCGATTTCACGTCTGTGATTCGCTCCCTGTAAATACGCACTCGCATGTTTTTAACCTTGACATCTTATTGACATTTTATTATAAATGTTAAATATTATAGGCTAATTTGTTCCTATTTATTAACCTTTCAAATACTAGTTATCTTTTCGGAATTTCTAATATTAAAATCACCAAAATATACATCATTTCGTAATTTTTTTACATCTGTTATGTCTTATAATTAAATATAAAAATGATATTTATAAATTTTATTATTTTGAATATTTCAAAGGAATCAATTGTTTCAAATAAGTAACAAATTCCTAGAGTTGAATCTTAATACAAGCATAATATAATTTTGTAATATGCTCATTTTGTTAAATTAATAACGATTAGATATTTATTTAATTATATTTGCTATTTTTTTCGAATGCGTTTTTAATGTCGCTTAACATCATTCCTGTAATACGTTCTTCACTTTTTTTACAATGGTTACTAATTGGTGGCAAATATGCTGCGGCAAAATGCAGTACGACGGAAAATGCCGGGTTTAGGGAAATTAAGTGTAATGATATCGCGCTAATCGCACAGTACGAGCTACGTCGAGTGCGTTTTTGCGGTCACGAGATCGCTCAATGTTTAAACTCCCTTTTCGCAGCCGGCTCCGCTTATCTCATTCTCCTCACGATAATTAGCAATCGCTTTTTGATAGTACGTACTTACAAAACCACTATTTCGCCGGCGTCATAACGATATCACGCTAATTGCGCTTTCGTTTCCACTCGAGCACACCTACGTAGTCACGAAATTGCAACTTGCTCGATTGTTAGGATCGAATTTAATGACCATTAAGTAACCTTTTTTTTTACTTTAATTAGAAATCGCTTTATTAGTTTTTAAAGTTTATATTGTATAAAAGAATATTATTTGTTATCTTAATCATTTTAGATGTGTTTCAGAAACATTCATTTATTGCTATAATTATAA